TAGCCTGCAATGCCAAAACCTGGGATGCTGAGGTAAAAGGATTCCAAGTTTGAAAGCCAGTGTGGGCTACATATCAAGACTGCTTTAAAATAAACCAAAAAAGGAGCTGTGAAAAGGCACAGCACTTCTTTTAGGCTGGGAATGGAGCAGCAGTGCCTTGTCTAACATGCATGAGGCCCTGAGTGTGATACACAGCACTACCTGCCAAAACAGAGTACTTACTATGCCAAGAAAGAGAAAAAGAAAGAAAAAAAAAGCATCTGGTCAATCTATTTTTTCTTATCCTTTTGAGATACAGTTCTACCATGAAGTTCAAGCAGGCCTTGAACTCACAGGAATCCTCCTGCCTTAGCCTACCAAGTGCTAGGATTGCAAATGTGTGCCACCAAGCCCACTATCAACCTGTTTTTTACATTAACTGATCTACAAATAATCACCAAGTCCCTCAGAACTACTGTGTCATGGCACCTTAAACCCAACACTCAAGAGAGGCAGGAAGACCACAAATTTAAGGCCAGCCTGGACTGCACAGCAAGACTCAGTCTCAAAAAACAACATCCACACAGAAAATCCAGGCTGGGGATGCAGGCCAGGGGTGGACACTCGCTTTGGGTGCACAAGGTTCTGGGTTCACTCCCCAGCACTACAAAAAGCACAAACAAACAAACTCACAAACCGCAAACAACACTCAGAAAAAAAGCAACAGCCGAGCATGGTGGTGCTGCTGCACACCTGTAAACCCAGCATTCAGGAGGCTGAGGTGGGAGAATAACTATGAGCTCAAGGTTAGGGCTAAACTGTACAGTTAGACCCTGCCTCAAAAAACCAAAGGAAAAAAAAAAAAACAAAAAAAACAAATATTCAACTTGGAGGAACCAACTTGGAGGTTCAGTGGTCCCTTAGGTTAACCTCAAGAAAGAGCCCACATACTGTTCATTTAGGCTAAATATAAGGGAAAAGGGCTGTATGAAAGATGTGTTTTTTTTTTTTTGTACTGGGGATCGAACTCGGGACCTCACACTTGCCAGGTAGGTGCTTATTATGCTGGTAAACTAAATCTTCAGCCCCGGGGGCTGGAGATTTAGCTCAGCGGTATAAGCGCCTGCCTTGCAAGCAGGCAGTCGTGAATTCAATCCCTGGTACCGATAAAAATGAAATAAATAAATAAATCTTCAGCCCCTTCAAGGTTTTTTGATGGTAGTAGGGATTAAACTCAGTGTCTTTGCACTGAGTGACATCCCAACCCTTCTTATTTTGAGACAGGATCTTGCAAAGTTGCCCAGCCAGCGCTCGAACTTAAGATCCTCCTGCCTCAGCCTCCCAGAGTGCTTGGATTTTACACATGCACGATCATGCCCAATTGATATGAAGTGCTTGGGTTTGCATTCAATTCCAGCACTGAATGGCTACAATGCCATGGGTAGGAGACATTTCTTCCCTCACCAACTGGGGTGTTAAGTACTTAGAGGACACTGTACAACACCCTTGGCCCAGGGTCTGGCTGGCAGTGGGTACTGTTACTGCTACATCACACCCCTACTGGGCACCAGAGTGGGTCCAAAGCTGTCCAGTGTTCTAGCTAGCCCATAATCTGCAGAGCATGACCACTACGACTTTACAAAACAGAGGGAAAAAATGGACTATGGACTAAAGGGGCTTGAACCATTCTACATCCAACAGCAAACGATGTACAAAAGACCCTGGCTAGAGCTGCCTCTCCGTCTCCCCAACCAAGCCCACTCTGGCTCTGGAGAACCCAACAGCCAACAGAAGCCAGAGGGCACAGCTCGGCACAGATCCTGGCCCTCAAGCAGGGCAAATTGCTACCTGTCACCTGTAGGATCTACCCTGCCTGCTGCCAAGGGGCCCTGAACTCACCTGTTTGTAGAGCCACAGCAAGGTGCAGACGACAGTGATGTCAGCCAGCGTCACTCTTTCACCCACCAGAAAGGTCCTGGTCTTCAAGTGAGCATCCAGCAGCCCCAGCACACGCTTCACCTCCTCCTTTGCATTTTCAGTAGCCTGTTGATTCAAACCTTCAACTCAGCAGCAGGTGCCAACCTCTCTGCAAACAGGACTATAATCCTGGACACCCCAAGCCTCTCAGCAGGAACATGAATCACAGGAAGCTGTTCATGTTAAACTTCCTCCCAGCAAGTCTGACTTTTTGCCCCACCGTATGATGTTCGTCTCCCATTGGGAGGAACTTTAGGGGTCCCTGGTGTAGACATGCCACTCCCTCTGGTCCAACCTCCTTACAGCAGAACTCTCAACCTGAACACCACCCTCAGCCCCTCTACAAGTGCCCCACTGCAGGCACATTACTGCAAGGCCTACACACTCAGCAACACCCTGCCGATGTTTCTTCACCAACCAAATGCCATCTTCACCCACCAACAAGCAGGTTCCACAGCTCACCTGCTTGTTGTGGTGCATGATACCCAAGGTGGGGAACACCCAGGTGCTGGCGGGAGGCACGATGTCGCTGTCAGCGAAGCTCACCCACTGTACCACCTGAGCGGCCACCTCTGGAGTTCTTCCCCGAAGCTCCTCATTGCTCACTATAGAAGCCAGGTGCAAAGATCAAGACTTTGGGGTCCTGCCAACACGGCCCCAGAATCCTGCATCCCCACCAGTTCCCTCAAGTTACCGTAGTAAGCGATGGCATTGCTTTCAAACACACAGAACCCATCATCACCCTCAAACGCTGGAACCTGGAGACAAAGCAAAGGAAGATAAGGTTAGATACATGGGAATTTCTCACTGACCAAGGTCAATTCTGAGAACTAAAACATCTTAAGTATGCTCTCTGCATCCAAGGTCAAAACACTCTTGGAAAGTGCTTGACCGGCTTAGTAATTTTCGAAGTGTCAATTCATACTACCTAAATAAAGCTCCCCAGTCAAATAAGCAAAAGGCCAGGATCCAAGTCTCACATCCATGTTGGCATCCCTGACAGTCACTGGGCGCCTATGCACAGGCATTGACCCGCTGTTCTCTAAGACCTCCCTCACTGTTGGAGCTCCTCACACCCCCGGGGTAAGAATCCCACTCTTAAAAAAAAAAATCCCACTCTTAACAGATGTTTGGTGCAATTGTGTTAATTATTCCCACAAATGCAAATCTGACCTCTGAATTTTAGGCAGTCTCTTAAAAAAAAAAATCCCACTCTTAACAGATGTTTGGTGCAATTGTGTTAATTATTCCCACAAATGCAAATCTGACCTCTGAATTTTAGGCAGTCGCTAAATCTATCTAAATACACACGGATCTCAGGAACAACCGTTCTCAGAATTTGTTTTGGAGTCGAATGTGAAGTAACATGAAAAACTGCCTTTCTTTTTAAAGACGGGGCCACCTCCAGGGACTGCAAGACTGAAAATCCCATCCACCTCCCTACTTACCTTGCCGGCAGGAAATTTGCGGAGAAATTCAGGGGTGCGGTTGGTTTGGCCAAAGTGGAAGTGGGGTGGTGCGGAGAGCACACGAATCTGAGCCCCGCTGTACTGAGCAGCGATGAGAGCCTTGAAGGCCCTCCAGTTTTCGGGGTACGTGTACAGGGTCTGCATGAGAAACACCGCGAGTCAGGGGGCAGGGGTCCTGCATGGCTCCGGGAGGGGATCCCGAGACCCCATCAGCGTCTCCTCCCTCTAGACAACTGGGTCCCTCAGCCTGTACCCAGTGTAACCAGAGTCCCCTGCAGCACCGAGCGGTGTACTGCAAACCAACTGCTAAATAAAGCTCGCTGCCACCCGACCTTCCCCGAGGACACCCTGGCCCCTCAAGTGCGTCTCCAGACACCATAACTTGTGGCCGCACCGGACTCCCCTGCCCTGCCGAGCTACGTGCGTTTCATTCATTTCCCAGCGCCTGCGGCCACGTACCGCCAACCCGGCACGCGGCACCCAGCGGCGCCCGTGTCCTCTCCTCCGCAGGCCGGGGACCGGTGTCTCCATCGCGGTCAGCCCCTCCGCGGCCCCCTCCTAGGGCTATTTCCACAGCCCGCCGGCCGGCCCGCAGGCGCTGGCAGGACCTCCCCGCAAGACAGAGACCTATGTCCCTGTCCGCGCCATTCGATAGCAGGAGCGCCGTCCCCCTGACCAGCTCCCTCTTCACACACGACAAGGAGCGGCGTGGCTCTGCGGGAGCCTGGCGGCGCCGTCCCCACCTCCCTATCCCCAGAATCCCCGCTCCGGCCCGAGCCTCTATCTTGCCTGCCGGAGCACCCTGCCCTCCGACACCGCGGACTGCAGACCCAGGCCGGCCCCCTCACTTGTCTGCAGAACGCCTCTGGTCCTGCCCGGGCCTCTAGGTAACAGGATGGCGACGGATAGGGCGAACCGGCTCACCACAGCCGGCAAACTCACCCCAGCCGCCATGGTGATTCCGCAGAGAAAGGGGGTGGGGCTCTGGCGCTGCCGCAAAGTATACCGGCCGGAGGGGGGAGGGGAGAGCCGTGAGGAAACAGCAGCCGGAAAGTGAGGACGGCATAGAAGGCTTACGCACGACAGTTTCGTGTTCAGTAGCGTGTCTCAGACAAAGGGGTGGGGCCTGGCTGCTTGCGCAGCGGAATCGTTGATTGACCCGCCTCTGGGGGCAGCAGGCCAATTAGAGCCCCAGCTGGTGGGGCGGAGGGCGGGGGAGGGTGTGAGAGCCGGCAGGAAGGACCGCCCCCTAGAGGTTCCCAGGCTGGGAGGGAGCTGGTCGCGCAAAGGGTTCCTGCAGAGTTGGGGAAAAGAGGGTATAAAGGGGCGCCCTCCAAGGTGGGGAGAGGGCCCCTCAAACGGACGCGGGTCCATGTGGGTCCTTGCAGGGTGGCGGGTTCCCAGCAGAAGCACGCACCCGTGACCCTTACTCCAAACCCACAGGACCGTGGGGACCATGCTGGCATCCCAAACCCTCCGCTGTGCGAATAAAGAGCAACTCATCTCTGCATCCCCCGTCCTGTTTGGCCACAGAGGCCGGACCTGGGGAGGAGACAGAGGACACAGAGACACTGGTGTGGTTCCGCAGTTCATTGTTTTATTGCCTGGCGCAGCGCCTGGGGCACGAAGCCCTGTAGGAAGTGGTGTAGCTCAGGGAACAGACCCTGCGCATCCTGTAAGGGGGTGACCGTGAGCGTCCCCTCTGCCTCAGATAGGCTCGCCACAAAGGTCACAAGAGGCTCAGCCCTCGCTGCCTGCTCCCCGCCGCTGCCAGGTCTGGCCAGCTCCTGGGTCACACGGGCCTCGACTGCTAGCCACTCAGTCCCTGTGTCGTCCCCCTGGCCCTGTCGCCACTGCTGCTGCAGGCGCCGCCGGACTCGACGCCGCCCCTGCCACGTGCGATACCAGAGGGCACAGCGCCAGCTGGCATGGCCCTGGCATGGTCGAGTTGGCCCAGAGTGGCTCGTTCCCTCTCCGGGACTCGGGCATTGGCCAGCCACCACTGGCAGGTCCCCTGACTGCCCGGGGCTCCACATGCCCCAGTCCTGTGCCGCCTCGCCAGCCTCTACAACCATCTCCTCTTCTGCTCCTCGACCAAGGTCCCTTGTGTCTCCCCACGGATCCTCAGCCCCAGCCCCGTCCTTGCCACCCTCTCTGTGTCCATCTAGTTTTGGTCTTTTAACAGCTCCTCCCTGGGCAGCCTCCTCCATCCCTGCTCCAGGCCTTTGCCTCTTTGTTCCCTGTTCTATCTGGCACCCCAGTGCATCCCGCAGCACCTGGACCAGGGCAGCAGCAAGCTGAGGGAAGGGCACTGTGGGCAGGAGGATGGGAGTGGCTGCAAGCAGTGAGGCAGGGGAACACGGTTGCAGGAGGGGCAGCAGCCCCCAGTCCCGGCCTCGGGCAGAGCGGCGCTGATACTGCAGGCTCCGGCAGTAACTGGCTGCAGCCCGGCAGCAGTTCTGCAGTCGCGCAGCCACACAGCTGGTCACGTTGGCAGCCACATTGTGACTCAGGTCAAAGGGGTCTTGAAGATTCATGGGGCCCAGACGTAGACCCTCCCATAGATCAGCTAGCTGGCCCCCAGCTACCAGCAGTGCCTGGCCCTCCCGTAGGGACAACAGAGAGCCACGAAGATTCCAGCAGGACACACAAGAGAAGAACTGGGCCAGCAGAGAGCCTGTAAGGGAACCAGTATGAGGGTCCTTGGAGGCCACACTGTAGTAAGACTGGCTTCATCCCCGCAGAGACACCTGCAGCCTCACAGACAAGAGGTCACCCCCTCCCCTTGCTCTGCTCCAGGGCTGAATTTGGCAGTCCCAGGCTCCGGTGGGAACTCACACCTGGGAGTGCATTGCATGAACACTGACATTTTCCCCACCTCCCCCAATCCATGCCCACTACTGCTCACCCAAGGGCTCCACGTTAGTGCTGGATTCCAGATTGGAGGTGTCCCTGGGGAAACTGCAATCCCAGCCATCCACTTCCACCTGCTCCTCCTCACCTGTGAGAGCAAAGGAAGGGTAAGCTTGGAGGAAGAAGCAGGGTGCAGGAACAGACGGCACCCCAGGTGGATGGCGTATTCAGCAATACCTGCTTTCTGGGTGAGCTGGGCTACCGTGGGCAACACAGGGGGGTCCCGGGTTTGCAGGAAGTAGATCACAAGCAGAGTCAGAGCATAGTTGCTGAGGAGGGGACCACTTCCTGGGTAAGCAAGGAGAACACTGTCAAAGAGGGAGCCTACTGCACCCCTGTCTTCTCGCCCTAACCCTTGAACCCAGTACCCTCTCTAGCCAAGTCAGTCCCAGTCTGTGCTTACCGGTTAGTCCTCGGCCCTGCGCCCAGCAGCGGACAGTGTACACGAGGGGTCGGACGCGCCCGTCCAGCTCAGAGCACAAACTAAGGAATCGGGAGTTGTGCAGAGCCAGGCTGGGGCAGAGGAGACAGGCATGTCAGGCTTAGCAATCTTGGCCATCATTCACCCGCCCACTCCATCTAGTTAAAAAGAGGACAAGTGCAAAAGTGCTGCTAAAGCCTGATTTTGAGAGAATGCCAGACAAGGCTGGGTGTAGCTCCGTAGTACAGCACTTGCCTGGCATGTGTGCAGCCCAGGGTTTAATCCCCAAAACAAAAAGGACAGTAGGGCAAGGATGTCACCGGACTGCTGGGCATGGTGGGACATACCTGTAATCCTAGCATTCTAGAAGGCTGAGACAGAGAATCACAAATTTCAGCCCACCCTAGGTAATTTAGGGAGTTGGTGAGACCCTATCTCAAAAAGGAGTTTGGAGATGTGGCTGGGGGTGAACCACCTGGGTTCCATCTCCAATACCACAAGAGAAGGAGGGTGAAAAGACTTCCGGAGCCTGTAATATGCAATGGACAAATCCTGGACAGGCAAGGAGAAGCAAGGAGGGACGTGTTTGCATCTCCCCTAGTATTTCCCAAATTGATGCAGCCACAAACTTTGCACATGCTCCCTAGAACCAACATTTTAAGATGCACACATCCCAAACAGTAAAGCTAGAGACAACCCAGAGAGACAGAGAAAGACACAAGCAAGCAACAGAGGGGCCCGGGGATGACCCAGCAGAACCCAACAGCCTCCCTGCCCAGACTCCTCCCCCTGGTACCCTCCAGGTACCGGTTACCGAGGGAGATGTCACCGTGAAGCCCTGAGGGCCTGTGACAGAACTTCACCACAGGGCGCCTGGCCGAGGGCACGCTGTGGACTCGGTACACACCAGGGACACAGCGCCGCAGGATGGAGCCCACCAGCTCCAGCACAGCTGCTCCCACTGGTTTCTCATGCCCTGGAGCCTCTGCCAAACTGGGGCCCTTCCCAAGGTCCTCCTCGCCCCTGTCCTCCTGCAGTGGTGAGGCTGGAGGCAAGGACTGCGGAGAGGCGAGGGTCTCAGAGGCCAGTGCAGAATCTGGTGTCTGGGGGGCTCGGGAGGAGGACAGGGTCTCAAAGTCCAGCACTTCAGAGTCATGGGGAGATGCTGGGGACTGCAAGTCCACAGAGGAGGCTGGGGTACAGGCTTGAGGATCCAAGGGGGAAGCGAGGGCAGAGTCCAAGGATGGAGACTCTGGCGCCTTCAGGACTGGCTGTGGATAGAAATGAGCCACGTGAGTCCTCATCCACTCTTCCCAAAACAGGGACATCTGTCTGTGTTCCCAGGAGTTCTTACTGCCAGGTCCTGTCCTATGGGCTTTTCATATGATAAATTCCTTCAATTAACACAGCAACCCTTTCTTAAAATCATCTTTCAACTCCATAAAATAAATGTGTCAGCCGGTGCAGTGGTACTGGCCTGTGATCTCAGTGCTCAGGATACTGAAGGAGAAGGATCACAAGTTCAAGGCCAGCCTGGACTTACAGCAAGACCTCATCACAAAATTTATGATACTCCTACCCTCCGCGGCAGTGCCATGGTCCTGACAGACAAGCACAGAGGAACCACTGCAGAGCAAAGACTGAGAGGTAACACACAGTACACTGTTGGGACAGCTGACAGCGAACACAGGCTGCCCACTGGTGCCCTTTTGTTCTTAAGTGATGCGCCCTACAATATCAAGGTACAAAAGAAAACAGTGTATATCACCTCCACCTCAACAATTCTGAAAACATAAATAATAAGCATGCAGAGAAAGAGAAAGTAACAAACACCATTACAGACCACTCCCTGTGGAAGGGGGCAGCTAGCTCAGCACAGAGATCTTACCTAACAAGCACTCAACACTCATCTAGTGCCCAGCACTGCAGAGAAAACAATGAAAGTTCTCTGTGGCGGCCAGAGGTGGGAACTCTATTTACTTTCCACCCAACTCTCCTGGGAACCTAAAACAGCTCTAAAAACTAAAGTCTTGGGACTGGATTTAACTCAGGGCACAAGTGCCTGCTTGGCAGGCACCAAATCATGAGTTTGATCCCCGGTACCAAAACAATAAAAACTAGTCTTCTTTAAAGCTGGGGATAGGGGCTGGGGATTTAGCTCAGCGGCATAAGCGCCTGCCTTGCAAGCAGGCAGTCGTGAGTTCGATCCCTGGTACCGATAAAAACGATAGTAGGACATGTCTACAATGGGGATAGTAGCACATGTCTATAATCCCAATATTTGGGAGGCTGAGGTAAGATGACTGCTACAAGTTCAAGGCCAGCTTGGGCTACATAGTGAGTTCGTGGGCTGGCTTGAACTATAAAGTGAGACCCTGACTCATAAAGAAAAAAAATCTTGGGATTTAGCTCAGCAGTATAAGCGCCTGCCTGGCAAGCAGGAGGTTGTGAATTCAATCCCCGGTACCACAAAAAAAAAAAAAAAAATCTTTAAAAATAATACCTTTTCCTATTCCAAAAAAAGAATCTGTACATTAGATGTTACAAAGTGCAGATAAACAGCTGAGCCTGGCAACACAAGACTATAATCCCAACACACTGGGAAGCTGAGTCAGGAGAAATGCAAGTTCAAGATCAGTTTGAACAACTTTTAGCAAGTCAATGAAACCTTGTCTCAAAAAAATAAAAGGGGGAGAAGCTGGAAATGTACTCCAATGTGAAGGCACTGGATTCAATCTCCAGTACCACAAAAGAAAGGAGAATAGATAAACGAATGACCCCAGATTACTTTACTAGTATCTTTTTTTCCCCAGTTTATATTGTTCATATCATTTAACATTACAGTACCATACTACTGCCTAGTATTGAGACTCAGTAATTCACGACTGATACAATTCCACCAAATCTATGTATATACTTTTTTTTTTTTTTTGGGTACTGGGGATCAAACTCACAATCTTGCACTTACCAGGCAAGCACTTGAGCCACTGAACTAATCTCAAGCTATTCTTTTACAGATTTTTTTTTTTTTTTTACAATATAATCTACACCCCATTTGGAAATCTTTCTTCCCATCAATCTACCACCTGTCTCATATCAGCCCACAGGCACCCTGACCCCCACCTTGCACCTTTCTCCAACATGCCAACCTCTGCAGGCAGAGCCACAAGGTGGAACCAAGGAACAGAGGCGAGATGTGTATCCACAGGTCCAGCCACCTCCGCTCACTCACCTGAGGCTCCTCCAGCTCCCCCAGATCCAGGAAGAGGTCAAGATCACAGCCATGGACATCAAAGCTATTTGTGGAAGAGCCAAAAGGGTGGACCACACAGCCTAGGGACCAAGACAGCCACAGTCAGGGCCACCAGGAGGGGCAAAAGACTCGAGACAAGGGGGGGGCCAGCCTGTACTTACCTGGGAAGAACTCTGTAAAGACCTCCTGCATCAGGGCCACCACCAGGCGCCGCAGCTGCCGCTCAGCCTCAGACAGCTCCCGCAGTGCCACCAGCTTCAGCATCTGCCCACCCACATCTGGGGCCTCTGCCAGGGTGCTGAGTAGCTGGTCACTGTCATCGGGGGCCACGCCCTGTGGGCCCCTAGATACTGGGCTCTGGAATGCTTTCTGTTCCCGAGGGCGCACACGGAGACGCTGTCCTCGAAGGCTGTGTTGGGGCTGGGCCAGGGCAGCGTCCCGGGAGGCCACATCCCCCATCTCCACAATGGCAAACACCCCCTGCAAACCCACAGTGCCACATGAGGACTCTGAACCATGACTCCCCACCTTCTTACTGATGATTTTCCCCAAGGCAATGCCGTGGAAATTAAATGAGATAATGTAGATAAAATTCTTAGCATACAATTGGTAGACAGTAATTAATAAACACTTTAGCCAGACAAAGTGGCACAGGCCTGCAATCCCAGCACACAGGAGACTGAGGCAAAAGGATTGTAAATTCAAGGCCAGCCTGGATTACACAGCAATTTCAGGGCTGGCCTCAACTACACAGTGAGATCCCATTTCATAAAACCAAGAGGAATAAAACATAACAAAGCAAAATATCATTCTCTGCAAAAGAAGTAAATATGAGCTGAAATGGGAACATTGGGCTTTCTGAACAAGCAGCCTGGGGCAGACAATGCCAACTGCTCACCTACACATTCTCTTTCTTCCTGATAAATGGAACCCCCACTTTGTTCAGAGGCAAAGTCCTCACTGAAAAAACTTAATTTCCCAGGTTGGCTCTAGTGGAGGATAATAACATAGTAGAGTTCGGGCTGATGAGAGAGATGTTGAAGCCTGCCAAGGCCTCTACAAAGTGTTCTCAGCTATGAAGAAGAGGAAAGAAGGGAGTCAGACCCTGGCAGTCACTGGCCTTTCTTGCGCTGCCTTGTCACCTTGTCCATGTTTTCCTGGAGTTGTAGAAACAGCAGCATCACGAGCTTTTGGCACATTGCTCTCACTACGACGTGCCAAAGCGATCAAGGAAAAAAGCAGGTGAACCCTGGCCTTCTTGTTAGATGGAAGAACACTGAAGGTTATAGGTCAGTTGCTAAATGGAAGCCCTTACAGAGTCAGCCTTGACTCCATCCCAACACAAGCTCTGGCCTGCTGAGGACATTTGTTCTTTCCCCTGCAGTGCTGGGCCAGTGCTCACCACAGTGTTGCATCTCCACCCCCAGAGGTGTCTAGGAGCCCCTGAGCCACACCTGAATGGCCCCCATGCAGCCTTAGAACCACAGTGTGACCCAGCAATACAGCACCACATGAATGAATTCATTTGAAGGGACAATTCAAAAAGTTCTACATGGAAGCAAGATAAAAGAGCTACCAAGAATGAGCTAGTTTCTGCCTGGCAAGCATAAGACCCTGAGTTACATTCCTGATACCAAAAAAACTCAACAAAACAAAACGGAATGAGCTTGTTTTCCTATCAGGGTGTTCTGACCCAGTAACCTCAAACAGGTAATAAACTGCCAACCATTTCATCAAGCTGTTTGGAGAGGAGGGGTGTTCTCCAATAGCATGTTTTTGTTTTTGAGACATCATCTTACTCTGTAGTCCAAGCAGGCCTTGGACTCACAGTGATCTTCCTGCCTCAGCCTCCCAAGTGCTGGGGTTACAGGTGTGCGCCACTATGTCCAGCATCTCCTGTGGTCAGTAAACTTCAGGTAAGCAAGGATTCATCTATCTCCTTTACTACTTAAGATCTGACTCCAACATTTAACACAAAGGCAGCAGTGAATAAACATGTGGCAAGCAAATAAAAAACACAGTGAATAAATAAATAAATAAATAGTCCATCAGCAATTACCTTGGGATTGGATAAAGCCCAATGGGGTGGGGGCAATGTGAGCTTATGGAGCTAGACTGTCCCAAGTTCTGTGGTGTCAGCAAGAACAGGCTGCTACTTGCTCCCTCCTGTCCTGATTCACTCCTTATCCCAGGGCCACTCTACCTTATCCTTGTCCATGACCACACTGGCTACAGGTCCAAATGCCTGGAAGTATTCAGACAGCTCTGTAGAATCCACATTCCTGGGAAAACCACTAACAAACACACTCCGAAGTCCCTGGGCCTTTCTGGCAGCTCGCAGTTCTACCAGATGCCGGTGCTTTCGGCCTCCCAAGTGGGCATCTAGGCTCGGTCCTGTAGAGACAAGACAGAAACAAAAATATCAGGTCACTCTTCAGTGCACTACCACCATTCTGCATAGTTAAAATTCTACTGATCCTCCAAGTCACAAAAGTATAGCCTTTGAAGCACTTGGAAGACTGAAGCAGAACTGCCACAAGTTTGAGGTCAGGGTGGGCCATACAGTGAGTTCAAGATCAGCCTGAACTGCATAGTCAAACCTTCTCAAAAAAAAGTGGGACCAGGGATTTAGCTCAGCAGCACACCTGCCTGGCAAGCATAAGGTAATGCATTTGATCCCTGCTACTATAAATAAATAAAAGTAACCTTTAAGTCCTGGTTCCTTCTACCCCTGATATGCTTGTGCATGTGTTTACATAACGTGGAGGAAGTCACTTCCTGACTAGCGTTTTCTAGGTAGTTCTTTTCTTTTTAAAATTACGTTTATTTGACAGAGGGTCTAGTAACTAAATTCCCCAGCCTGGGCTTAAATTGGTTCTCCTCTACCTCTACCTCCCTTCATGCTCGGATTATGAGCATGTATTTGACCATCAGCTATATGCACACTAGGGACTGAACCTAGAGCTACCACTAAGCAACATCTCCAGGCCCTATTTTGTATTCAGACAGAGTTCACTAAATTGCCCAAGCTGGCCTCAAATTTGTGATCCTCCAGCATCAGCCTCCCAAACAGCTGGGATTACAAATTTATAAAGAAGCACAGCTCAAGTCATTCTTAAATCAATTATATGCAGTAAACTGGTAGGCATGACGGCACATGCCTCCAACCCCTGCTACTTGGAGCCTTAAGCAGGATTGAAACTTTGAATTCAACCTGGGGAACCTAGACTTTTTGTCTCAGTGAAAAGTTTCTTTAAAAGTCTGGGGACATAGCTTAGAAGCAGAACACTTGCCCACTATATACAAGGCCATGAATTCAATCCCCAATACCACACACAAGACAGACATACGTATTTGCTAGGTAGAGCAATACGTGCAGACTAAAGAAATCAACAGGTAACTTATCTACCTCATACAGAGAACTCAGGACATGGATAATTCTCTTTGATCAATTGTGGGTATGGTATGGTGACAGCAAGCACAGGATTCTAAATTGCTCAAAATTGAAACTCGGCTTTATTATGCTTTGTGAGAACTTAGGCAAGTTGCTTAACCTCTCTGTGCATCAGTTTCTCCAGATTTAAATGTAGGTAACCATAATATCTTCAACAAAGTCCAAATTTGTATTAACTGACAAGAGTCTGGTACATGGTAAATGAGGAAAGTTTCACTGCTAGTATTATTTGTATTATCAGTCAGCGGCCTGGTGTCAACAAAGTATTTGTTAAGTCAATGAGACTTTTGATTTCCAGCTTGCCCTACTGAACGAGGATAGTGCTATTCACACAGAAAAGGAAAAATGGAAGATCCTATTTAAGAGATCAGGAGTCCAGGAGATCAGGAGTCCAGGTCTCAAAAGTGGAATCTTGAGGTTTCCTGGAGCTCCTTAAACTGCCCTAGGAGAACTAAGTCCGGTTCCCAAACCCATTCTATGTCTTCTCCTCGCGGGCACCTTCAGCTCCTTGCCACACCATCTCGCCCATCCTGGCCCCTGGGAAGATCCTGTAGGTTTCCCCACTCAGCCTTTCCTGCGATGCCACAGCTCTGTCTGCATCCAGATGGGGGCAACTGCAGTCCCGAACCACTCCCCCCACCCCCGGGCCAGCAAATCACCAGGCACGAACAGGGGCCCATAAGAGATAGCTACAGGAAAATGAACCACGGAGCTTTGGCCGTGGGTGTTCCGTACAGCAGGAAAGATGGTGCCGGTGGCGTAAGTCCCCACTCCGCCGTCCCCTCCCTCTGACGTGCAGTGAGGACCAAGGTGAGCGGCCCCGCCAGGAATACTGCATGAATTATGAATTATAATTAACATGAATTATGATCTACAACCACCAGACGAACGCCCCCAACCACCCTCACTAGCCACCGCTTACGGTTGGCTGTAGTAACTTGGCAGAGGCAACAGCGGAAACCCCCCCGCGGCAGCGATTCGACATCCGAATCCACTGCCTCCATGGCGACTCCTGCACAGACCAAAGGCCACCACTCCTGCCTCCGCCGGAACTCTCTTGTGCGTACCGCGATGCTCTTGAAAGCGACTTCCGCCACACCCACAGGAGATGACGTAGGTCGGCCAATCACAAGCACCACCTACCTACCCCCCCTCCCGGAAACTGAGATCTCTCAACTCAGGGTTCCACTTCCGCCTATGACTCTCAAATCCCCGCCTTACGCTTCTCAGAAGGCTCCACACTTTTCCGGCTTTGATTGGCCCAAAGCCTCGTGAATATTCATGAAACGGCGGCAGTGGCGCCCTGGGGCGGGGCTAAAACCTACTTCTAGGTATCCTGCCTGAGTCGCCTGCTGAGCTGCCCTGTCCTGCTCCTTTCCAGTAATTGCTTCTTTTGCGAGAAGCGCCCAAACCGATGACTGAGCCGGGGAGATCCTGGCAGGATGGAAGGCGCAGGACTCAGAGGCGCGCAAACCGGCAGCTGCCGCGGCTTGCGGCCCAGCGCTGAGGCTGATTGTGTACAGCAGCAGGAGCCCAAGGAGCGGACAGGCTGGGCTTCTCCCAGAGGGCACACACAGGCAGGAGAGGTCCTGCAGGACCTGAGATGCATACCTTTGGGGTATGACATCAGTACTCCACTGCCAGCATTCGGGCCCTGGGAGACAGAGGCCAGCAGGCAGCTATCTAGACAACCCACCCCCTGCACTGCGTGAGTCCCTCCGGGCCCAAATGACGCTTGGGGCCCACCATCCTAGTTGGAGGCAGCTTGGGTCTCAAGGCAGTGGAGCCCAGCAGCGGCACATCCCTGGAATCCACTACTCTGGGAGCTGAGGCCGGACAAGCTTGTGCCCAATCTGGGCAACTTAGTAAAACCATGTCTCCAAAACAGCTGGAACTCATTGAGTGTGAAAGCCTTGGCTTTAATCCCAGTAAAAAAAAAAAAGAAAAAAAGGTAGGTAGTGGGGACAGGGAGCAGGCCACTCTGTCACACCTCTTGCAATACTACTCCCCATGTGTACTTTTGTCTACTCTGTCCTTTATTATCCTTGTCAAAGACATCCCAACACATACCCCACACCTACTCAGGGCAGAGAACAGCTGAGCCAGGAGGGACTGAAGAAAACAGCTTTTTATTTGTTACTATAAGAACCAATTACAGAATCCAAGGTTTAAAAAAACCGACAAAAGATCTTTATTTCTGAGAATTGGCATACAAAAGGCGGTAGGGGGAGGGGAGAAAAGAAAGAGCACGCATGGGCTGGGACTGATGCCAGCTCAGGGGCCTCAAATACCAATTAGCAAAGTCCGGACACCGGACAGGAAAAGAAACCCCCCAATTAGGAAAAACAGAAGAGACATGGCAGTACATGCCCCCCACCCCCAGCCAGGTGCCATCACCTGAGAGTTGTCACTCTTTCTGTCCCCTGTCCCCTTTCACAAAGGGAGGTAAAATTTTTAAAAAATTAAAAAACCCTCCCCCTGAAACTGTCCAAGACAAGTGTGGAAGGAACCTTCCAGGGCAGGCCAGATGTCCCCAAGTGCAAGCTCCACAGGCTGCCCAGCCACAAGGAGAAGCAAGAAGGCCCAGTTCCCAGATGGTAAGGCCAAGGGCACCAAGCCCCATGGTCCTGCACACTCCAGAGAAACGAGGTTTAAGTCCTGGGCTCCACCCTGGCTTCCTGGCTCAGTCCTCCAGGACAATGGGCTCACTGGTGCTGGCAGGCCTTGAGGGTACAGGCAGAGGGGCAGGGGGTCGCACCGACATCAGTGCTGGTTTCACTTTGAGAGGCAAGTTGGGCCTCCGGGCTGCCCGCCGCATCTCCAGGTGCGTGAGAGCCTTCCGCAAGGCCCTGCAGGGAAAGCAAGAAAAACAGAAGAGGTGCAGGAAGCCCTGACACTCCAGAGCAGGTCAGCCAGGACCAGAATCATGGACACCTTACCTGGTATCCTTCGTGGCCACAAACACCACAGGATTGGGAGCATCTGCGGGATTCAGTTTCTGACGTTTAGCTGCTGGCTGTGAGCCTGAGCGGATCCCTGAGGTCAGAGGCCTTCCATTGGCAGAGAAAGGGACCCCTGCCCCTGCCATCTGCAAAAAGACAAGACAACACAATGAGGAAGGAGCCAGACTCTAGTCGAAATAATAAAAGCCCACCCAGACCAGCCTCCTCCATCAACCAGCTCACCGTCTCATAGGCCCGCTTCACCATTATGCCTCCCAGACCCCGGTTCTGGGTCAGCTGGTTTCTGTTGATTGGGGTCTTCGTGCCCCGAGGTGTTTTTGGTTTCAGAGGTGCCTGAGCCACTGTCAGGAGAAAAATAAAAGTTTTCACACCTCTACCCTACACTGCCCCTTTGTTGGTTCCATCTCTTTTCCCTCAGCTAACAGTTTACCTTAAACCCTCAAATGTATGGGGAAAGGGCTTGGAAGCAATTACCAAGGTTCGAAATCTTACATGCATGACAATACCCAACCAGGCAAGAGCCCAGAGAAAAAAACTATTGGGCTGAAGATGTAGTTCAGTAGTAGAGCACTTGCTAGGATTCGAAAGGCCCTGGGTTCAACAGCTGGGCATGGTGGTCCATGCCTGTATTCCTAACACTCGGGAGGCTAAGGTACAAGGGTTGCTACACAATGAGAAAGAAAAAGAAAATGACCACCACAAATGCAGTTTATCAGACTGAAATCTCATCAGACTCAGGAAAAAGGAATGTTCGTGATAACACGGAACTGGAAGCCTGACACCACCCAAACTGGCTGCCCATTCTGTACCCAGGTCCTTGACAATTGTTGCCAGGGGCAGCCGCACCAGAGGGTGAATCTTCAGTGGTGTCTTGGCAGCCTTTGGAAGGCGGATGGAGCCTGGAGAAAAGAAAGCACGCTTCTAAGGGGCTGTACCAGCCAAGTTTCCTAAGTACCAGGCTGGGTCCCATTTCCCACAGTTCCTGCAGCCCCCACCCACACTGCGTCCTTACACTCTGCCTTAATGGCATTGGCATTGATGGGGGCGTAAGGCCGCCGGGCCGCCCTCCTTGGCTGTAGCAGGTCCCTGCACATCCGCCGGGCAAGCCGGGTCAGCTTTGTGGTCTGCAGCAGAAATGTCTGCCTGTTCTTGGCCAACAGCTTGGCACGGTTGGCGCTGGTCGTATAGGGAGAGAGACTTTGGGCTTCAGGTCTAGACAAATGACCCCTTGAGTGTGGCTCCTGAGGAAGGACACAGAGGATGGAGACTGCAGTGGCACTAAGGTTCCCTTCTTTTCTCCCATTCCTTTCAGGGGACAACTTATTTCTGCCTGGTGACCTTACTGGCCCATACCCTTCTTCTAGCCACCCTTCTTCTAGCCACCCTCCGCCTGCCTGAAGCCGGTACTCTGCTCTAGTGGGCACTCAAGTCAGCTCATGTTTTCCCTGCTCTGATCCTTACTGTGGAGCCCCGAGCAGCCCCCTCAAGCTGGGTTGGGGTCTTCAGTCCCCCATACTTCTTCCAGTAGATCCAACAGGAAGCACAGAGGCGACACTGCATGTTGGGTGGGCCCCAAGCGTACCACTGGGCAGACTGCGTCGCTATGGGAACATAGGTCTGTCAGTGAGGAACCTGCTCCAGAGACCCTACTGCCCAGTCCCATGTCTTGCCCTGCAACTCACTGTGGCAGCTTTCACAGGTCAAGCCCTTCTGGAATCCAGCTCCATTCATGCCAGGTTTTGAGCCCACAGAAATGATCTGGTTAGGGTTTGGCTTAGTGCTAACAAAAAAAGTAAATGAAAGAAACTAGTCAAGAACTTTTTTTGTTTTCTAATTCTCTTAAGAGAGAGTCTCATTATGTAGTCAAGCTGGCCTTGAATTCAATGGGCAGCCCAGGTTGGCATCAAACTCACAGCAATCCTGCCTCAGCCCCCAAGTGTCAGGATTACAGATGCCCCCAGTCAGCTGGGGAAAAGAACTCATTTCTCATTTTTCTCTCCCAGCCATGGGGCCTGAACAGGGGTATCATGTGTGCCAGTCATGAATTTACCACTCAGCTGAACCCACCTCCACCACTTCACTCTGCTCCCCACCACCCTGCATCACTGAGGAGGGCAGAAACTGAAGGAAAAGAAGGGAGACATGCCTGTCTCCCCTGTGCAAATACTCACTAGGTGGGGATGTAGACTTGCTTCAGTTTGCTGTCTGCTTCAGCAGCCTTCAATCTCTTCTGCAAGAAGAAAGAGGAGAAGAGGTCAGTGACTCCACACACAACTCAGACAGCCCTGGTCCAGCCATGCAGCCCTCCGCACCTGCTGAATGTAGCGGTCTGTGGTCTTCCACATGTAGTAGAACTGGACTATGCTTGCAAGTGACTTCCAGGGCAACTGAGCAGGACAGAAGGCAGAAGAATGAGGTGGTACCTGACCCTGGTCTCTGCTGCCTCCCCTCCTACCCCGTACACTTACAAAGTCCTGACGGATGTCATTAAAATCCTTCCCATACTTCTCCAGGGCCTCCTCAAACAGCATGGCCTCAGAAGCAGACCACTCCTCCATCTCATCTCGACACAGCACCGGGCCCCCCTGGGGCACCAGGGTGGACATGGCTTTGGCCAGGTCATAGCCATTTCTCTGCAGCGTATCCATGGCATGAAACTAGAGAAAAGGAGGCAGCTGAGGACCTGGAGCCTGGGCACTGCCAGCCTGCTACCCTTTGAACACTCATGTACGCTGGGGACATGCATCTCTCTATGCCAAGCCCTGCAACCAGCTCTCCCAGAGGCTGCTCACCAGGGTGATGTCTCGGGAGGCAGCGGCTGCACTCATGTGCAGGCTAGGCTGCCGGATGGAGCTGCTGCAATCCAGGGCTCTTGCAAAGGTCCCCACAGCTCTGCAGGGGAAATAAGTCATGAAAGGAAAGCAAGCAGGAGCAGATTAAGGAGAAACAGCGCCACCTGCCAACATCTAGAGCGAATAGAACTCAGAGCCTTGCCCACAGCTCCCCAGCCCTCTTCCTAGCCACCGGCTCTCACCGGGCCACCACGAGGAACTGGTCAATCTGCCGGTCCGTGAGGGGGTTGTCAGGGTCCCAGACCTTCATCTCCATCTTCTGCTGATTCCGATTGTCTAGTTCTCCTGAGGAGTGA